TTTTTTTTTAAGTAATCCTTTGGGGAAGTACAGAATAGTAAACCATTCACAAGGCAGCAGCAATACTAGAAATTCCATTAAATGAGGCCAAAAAGACCTACCAGAGTCAAAGGATAAGGTACTATGACTTTTATTATTTGAGACAAGGTCTCATTCTGTTGCCCAGACCAAAGTGTGGTGACGCAATCATAGTTCACTATAGCCTCTACCTCCCAGACTCAAGTGATCCTCTCACCTTAGCCTCCCAAGTAGCTGGAGATACAGGTGCAATGCCACCATACCTGGCTAATTTTTGTATTTTCTGTTGAGACAAGGTCTCACTGTGTTGTCTAGTCTGGCCTCAAATTTGTGGGCTCAAGGGATCCTCACACCTCAGCCTCCCAAAGTGCTGGGATTATAGGCGTGATCCACCATGCCCAGCCCTACAGTACATTATTAATAAGACATTAGGAAACTATTTTAAATCTCTAGGAAATATCCATTAACCTTTGTTAACCCTACAGAAAGCCAAGAATGGGATCAAATGGTTTTGCAGTTCTATGGAAAATATCACAAATACTTCAGTCACATCTTTTTTTACTGCATATATTTAAGGTATACAACGTGCTGTTTTTGTTTATTTATACACAGTGAAATAATTATTGCAGTCAATCAAATTAATATATTGATCATCTCACATAGAAGCCCTTTTTTGTGTGTGTTTGTATTACAAGAGAACCTATAATCTACTTTCTTAGCAATTATCCCTAATACAATATCATTACCTATAGTCCTCATGTGGTACATTAGATCTCTCTAGAATTATTCATCCTGTATATCTGTAACTTTATATCCTTGAATCTACACTCCCCCATTTCATCCCTCTCCTATTCCCCACCCTCTATGCTTCAGGTGCCTCTTAAGAAATTGTTTCTGCGGGGCAAGGTGACACATCTGTAATTCCACCACTTTGGGAGGCCAAGGTGGTAGGGATGCTTGAGCAGAGGAGTTCAAGAACAGCCTGGGCAATATGGTGAAATCCCACTTCTATAAAAAATACAAAAATTAGCTGGGCATGGTGGCATATACCTGTAGTCCCAGCTACTCAGGAGACAGAGGTTGCAGTGAGTCAAGATTGTACCACTGTACTCCAGCCTAGGTGACAGAGTAAGACATTGTCTAAAAAAAAAACAAAAAGAAAAGAAATTGTTTCTAAAAGAAACTAGGGGTTAGACTAGGAGTAGGCACACTGAAAATAAAGAATATATAATAAAAAACAAAGATAATAACTTAAGCCTTGCACCATTCAAGGGACTACAGATAATTACAATGCTTTATTAGAAAAAACAGAAATTTCCCTGATTAAATACCATTCTGAAAGTAAACAGTCATTGACAGAAAATAAAATTAATTATTTTAAATTGAAGGGAAGAAACATCATCATATTTCATCTAAAATATTATTTCAAAAAGAGATGTTCCAAAACCTATATAAAGAACTAAAATGTATCTTACTTATCAAGAAGCACAGAGAAAAAAAATTTTAATCTTAAACACGCAGGAAAAGAATTAAACTTGCAGATGGAAAGCACACTACCAAAAAAAAAAAGGAAGCCTTATCAGCTCAAAGAAGTCATTTTATATTTTGCTGAAGTACATATTATTAAAATATTAATAAGTATACTAAATCAATAAAATGTTATATTAAAGTAATAAGTCATCACAAAAGATTCTGTGAAAATAAATAAAATCTCTACCTTTGGCCATTTGGGATTGAGAAGTCGAGCTTTGATTGCATCATCCAGTGCCTTGTCATACTGCTGGATTTTCATGTAGGCTGCTGATCTATTGCTGTATAAGATGCAGTTCTGAGGGTCAACAGCCAGGGCTTCATTATACAGAACAATAGCTGTGTGGAAATCTCCATCATGACAGGCCTGATTACTCTGACGAACTTTCTCAACAAATTCAGCTTTGCTCAGTACGGGTCCATCAGGACTTCTCTGACCAATGGTGTTAGCACCAAAGAGAGGAATCTACAAAAAAAGAAACTTTATCAGACAAAGTTCAGATAGTCCAGAAGCGTTCCCCATCTGGTAAGATTTGGATGTCTGTCCCCTCCAAATTGCATATTAAAATCTGATCCCCAACATTGGAGGTGGAGCCTAATGGGAGGTATTTAGGTCATAGGAGTAAATCACTCATGAACAGATTAATGCCGTCTCTTGAGGGTGAGTGAATTCTTACTCTTATTAGTTCCCGAGAGAACCAGTTCTTAAGAGGCCTGCCTCTGGTTTCTCTCTCTCTCTTGCTTCCTCTCACTATGTGATCTCTGCAAGCACAAGCCAGCTCCCCTTTGCCTTCTGCCATGAGTAGAAGCAGCTTAATGCCCTCACCAGATACAGATGCCTAACCTTGAACTTTCCATTCATCAAAATCATGAGCCAAATAACCATTTTTCTTTATAGATGACTCAGCCTCAGGTGTATCTTTACTTTTTAACTCTTATTTTTTTCAGATGAGGTCTCACTCTGTTGCCCAGGCTAAAGTGTGGTGGCACAAGCCTGGTTCACTGCAGCCTCAACCTCTGGGCACAAGCAATCTTCTTGCCTCAGCCATTTGAGTAGCTGGAAGTACAGGCAAATGCCATGGCATGCAGCTAACTTTTTTTTTTTTTTTTTTTTTTTTTTTTTTGGAGAGAATGGATTTCGCTGTATTGCCCAGGCTGGTTTTGAACCACTGGCCTCAAGCAATACTTCAACTTCAGCCTCCCAAAATGCTGGGATTACAGGCATGAGTCACTATGCCTGGCCAAGTATTCCCTCATAGCCACACAAAACAGACTAAGACATCACATGAACCTAAATAAAACAAACATTTTTCATGATCTCCTGAACATTATAGTTAACTTTTGTGCCCTGGAAGACAATAATATTCTCTCAAAGCAGCCAACAAAGTGCCTTGCATGCATATGTATATGTGTATGTTTGATAGTTACATATATGTATATTTGTATTTGTTGAATGAATAAATGCAAAATGATAGTTACATTTATGTATATTTGTACTGAATGAATGAATAAATGCCATTTTCCTTGGCAATTTAAATACGATGGAAAAAATAAAATACAAACATATATGGACACTATAATCTCAACTATGTTAAGATGATTGCACTTAAAATAATGATGAAAAGCCTGGCACAGTGGTATGCACATGTCGTCCCAGCTACCCAAGATGGTGAAGCAGAAGGATCACTTTAGCCCAGAAATTTAATACTATAGTGTGCTACAACTGCACTGGTTAATAGCCATTGCACTCCAGTCTGGACAACATAGTGAGACCCATCTCTAAAAACAAATCAAAATACTAATCATACTAAATTATCTCTGGAAATAAGGTTGTGAAGTGTTTTAATTTTCTTAAACATATACAAGTTTTAAAATAAAAAAATAAGCTTAAAAAATGTTTTTCAGCCTGGCCAATATGGTGATACCCCATCTTCACCAAAAATATAAAAATTAGCTAGGTGTGCTGGCACACACCTATCGTCCCAGTTACTTGGGAGGCTGAGGCAGAAGAATTGCTTGAACCTAGGAGGCAGAGGTTGCAGTAAGCCAAGATCGCTGTACTCCAGCCCAGGCAATAGAGCAAGACTCGTTCTCAAAAAAAAAAAAAAAAAAAGTTTTCATGTACCATTGAATCTTTTTGGACTGGCAAATTTGGTTACTGTAATTTGGCTACTACCATGAAATTTCAAAGACAAACAACAGTTTTTAAAGACCAGCAAAAAAAAATTCAGCTGTAAACTATGTTCTGGCAATTTAAAATGTTTTTGATGTTGATTTTTCAAAATCACTAAGCTTTCTGTAACTTTATATGACAGCAGTGACCTTAAAACCAATGGGAGCAAAGGTGTCAAGTCAAGTGTTTTTGTTTGGTTGGCTGGTTTGGTTTTTTTTGTGCTTTTTTTGAGACACGATCTTGCTCTGTCACCCAGGTTGGGGTGCAGTGGTATGATCATGGCTCACTGCAGCCTCAACAACCTAGGCTCAAGCTATCTTCCCACCTTAGCCTCCCAAGTTGCTGGAACCTCAGACATGCACCACCCCACCTGGCTAATTTTATTATTTTGTAGAAACAAGGTCTCCTCATGTTGCTGAGGCTGATCTCAAATTCCTCCGCTCAAGCAATCCTCCCACCTTTACCTCCTAAGCTGCTGGGACTACAGGTATGAACCACAGCACCCAGCTTGTTATTCATTTTTAAAACATAAAAATTATGAACTGTATTCGAGTACAAAGGGAAGAAATTTAACACAGTAGTTATCAGGAGAGACATTTTATACTTTTAAGCAAGCTTGCCCTAAGTGAAATTAAAATAAAAAGTATTTTTTCCCTATGTCTTCCTTTAAGATCAAGTCCAGTACCTCCATTCAGAAGAGGATGCATCTGATTTGAAGCAATAGGCCAACATATACAAAGAATAGACTCCTCAAAGAAGTATTTGCATGAAAAAAAGAAAAAAGTCCCCAAAGAAGGGAACAAAGGCAGATCTAACTGCACACATGAGCAACCATTATTCTCCCTCCGCTCAGAAGATTATATCCTGACTTCCAGGACAATTCAAAACATTCAAGGATTCCGTAAGTTTCAAATATCAGTGTCCAAGTTATACTCAACTTTCTTTTTTTTTTTTCTTTTTTTCTTTTTTTTCAGAAGGAGTTTCACTCTTGTTGCCCAGGCTGGAGTACAATCTAAACTCACTGCAACCTCCGCCTCCCAGGTTCAAGCAATTCTCCTGCCTCAAACTCCCGAGTAGCTGGGATTACAGGCATGCACCAATATTAAACTTTCTCATACTGTAAGTGGCCAACCAATAATGTACTTAAAGGTTTTTTTTTTAATTATGATCATGAAACATATCGTTTGAAAGTAAATTGACTATATAACATTTACCAAACAACCAGAATTTTCAGTCTTTATTCTTTTTTATTCCATCATCAAATCAATGTATAAAACATTGACAATATGTAAGACTAATTTCATTTTGGAAAATATGATCATAATGGCTCTGCTTAAGATCAATACTCATAAGGTATAGAAACAAATTCCGTATCTGAAAATTCAGGGGCATGACATAAAAAAAGCAACTGAAGACTTTTCTTTTTTTTTAAAGATGGAGTTTCACCATATTAGTCGGGCTGGTCTCAAACTCCTGACCTCAGGTGATCCACCCACCTCAGCCTCCCAAAGTGCTGGGATTACAGGCGTGAGCCACTGTGCCCGGCCAACTAAAGACTTTTAAAGTAAAATGAATTATTAGGTTCATAAGTAGCCTCTAAGTTATGAAAGATAGAAAGAAAGAAAGAAAGAAAGAAAGAAAGAAAGAAAGAAAGAAAGAAAGAAAGAAAGAAAGAAAGAAAGAAAGAATAATCCTACTATATTACACTACTATTACAGTATTCCCTACTTCTCATAAAGAATTGCAGAGTAGGCTGAACTCAGTGGTTCACACCTGTAATCCCAGCACACTGGAAGACTAAGAAGGGAAGACTGCTTGAGTCCAGAAGTTTGAGACCAGCCTGGCAACAGAGCGAGACCCTGGTTCTATTTTAAAAAGAAAAAAAATTATTTAAAAAATTTGCAAGTGGGGCATAGTGGCTCACACCTGTAATCCCAGCACTTTGGAAGCCAAAGTGGATGGATCACCTGAGGTCAGGAGTTCAAGACCATCCTGGTCAACATGGTGAAACCCCATCTCTACTAAAAATACAAAAATTAGCTGGGCATAGTGACAGGTGTCTATAATCACAGCTACTTGGGAGGCTGAGGCAGGAAAATCGCTTGAACCCAGGAGACAGAGGTTGCAGTGAGCCAAGATCACACCACTGCAGTCCAGCCTGGATGACACGAGTAGGACTCCATCTCAAAAAAAAAAATGTTTAAAAAGAATTGCAGATTAGGCCAGGTGCAATAGCTCATGTCTGTAATCCCATACTTTGGGAGGCTAAGGTGGGAGGATTGCTTGAGCCCAGGAGTTCAAGCCCAGCCTGGGCAACAAAGCAAGACCCTGTCTCTACAAAAAAGACAAAAAATAGCTGGGTGTGGTGACACGCACCTGTAGTCCCAGCTACTAGGGAGGCTGAAGTGGGAGGACCGCTTGAGCCTAGGGGGTCAGGGCTGAAGTGAGCTATGATCGTGCCACTTGCACTTCAGCCTGAGCAACAAGCAAGACCCTGTCTCAAAAAAAAAAGAATGGAGGAGTAGTAATTTTGGTTCAATGCCAACACAGATAATAATGAAATTAAGAAGAAAAGTGATCTTCCTTCTATTACCTCCATGTACAGTAATATAAAGTAACATTTCCCAAAATATATTCTAAGGAAACCCTAGGTCCTCAGGAGACTAGGATGAACAACATTAAATAAATCTCTTCTTTAGTGAAATATCTCTCAGAGATCTTATTTTGCACACTGTGGATCTCAGAGGGGGGAATACCATACATCATAAGATCAAATGACCTTTATAATAAAGCATCTAGTAAGTCCAGAAATTGCTTGAAACACTGATGTACACCATTACTAAGGCCTCTAAGAGCAAAGAAAATACCATGAATGAGTCAGTACTAGTACAAAGATTCTAAATACTAGAGGAGAACTCCACCACCATCAAATGTTCACAAATTTAAAAGAAAAATGCACTGTAGTAAGCACTCCACAGAAGCTTCTAACTTGTCAAAATATATCTGCGTTTACTCAGCTGGAGACTGTGTAGTGGTTAGAAGGTTAAGAAACAGAAACTTCTGGCCAGACGCAGTGGCTCACGCTTGTAATCCCAGCACTTTGGGAGGCTGACTAAAAATACAAAAATTAGCTGGACATGGTGGCACACGACTGTAGTCCCAGCTACTTGGGAGGCTGAGGTAGGAGAATCGCTTGAACCCAGGAGGCAGAGATTACAGTGAGCTGAGATGGTACCACTGCACTCCAGCCTGGTAACAGAGCAAGACTACATCTCAAAAGAAAGAAACAGAAA